CCTTCCCAGTCATTCCCATTCTCGTAATGGCAATTCCATTCTGGTTGTTTAAACCAAAACCATGGTGTCATTCATGACTTCTCTTTTCCTAACACCCCAGTCAGATACATGAGAAAATCCTGTTATATGAACTATCAAAACAGATCCAGAATCTGACCTCTTCTCATTGCCACCATTTCCACCACCAAATTTTAACACTAACAGCCATTCCCAGGGGTATCACAATGGCCTCCTAACTGGTATCCCTAGTTCTGCCCTTACTCTCTTCAGCTTCTTCAGAATGCAGCAGCCAGAGAGGTCTGACTTAAACTTAAACAAGTCAGAGCATGTCACTTCTCTGCTCAGGATCTTCCAAGCACTCCCATCTTACTCAGAGTAAATGCCAGAGTTCTTATCTTTAAAGAACCCTCCACGCTCTAGCTCCGTTTTCTGCTCTGACCACCACCCTCTGCTATCCCCCATCTCTGTTCTCTCTGCTCCAGCCACTCCGGCCTTCTACTGTTCCTCAAGCACACCCAGCCACACCCAACACAGGCCTTTGTACTCGGCACTCCCTCATCCCTGCATGGTCTCCCACCAAGTATCTGCCAGGTTACCTCCCTCGTTTCCGTCAGGCTTTTCCTCAAAAGTCACCTTCTCAATGGAACTATCCTTGGCCATTCTATCTAAAATTTCAAACTGCCTCTACCTTCAATTTTCCTATGTTTTTTTCTCCTTAGCAATCATCACTACCTAAAATACTACATGTTTTACTTGCTTATGTTGTTCCCTATCTAAATATCAACTCCATAAGGACATGGTTGCCTCTTATTCACCGCTCTCCCCCAGGACCTAGTACTGTGCCTGGCGCACAGTAGAAGCTCCATAAAGAATTGTCAAATGATTAAATGACGATGAAGCAACTTCTTAAAAATTTCTGAAGTAATTTTGAACTTTACCTTTGCGATTGGAACTTTGATTCCTTTGGATTTTTAACTCCACAGAAGAGCTTTCAATTTTGGATTTTAATTTCTTAGGACTTTAACTTCGGAATTTTCACTGGCAAGGGGATTTAATTTGTAGCCTTTATTTTTTGTCTGTGAAATGTATCATGGAAAAGGGTTTATATAAATTGAAGTCATTGCCATATCGTGGACATTTTATTAATATTTATCATAAAGTTGTCGTGTTATCTCCCTGGTGAATCTCTGATGATCCTACTGAACAATGTGACATAATTAGGGATGAATTTTTCAGCTTTGGGTAATTTAATTAATGCACCATCTCTAATGTGACATTGAAGTTCATTGTTCACTCATTCAATAAAATGTCATCTATGCCTAGGTATGCTGTGCTCATTCATTTGAACCAGGGATCAGCTGCAAATTGAAGGGCTGAGGGCCATATCTGGTCCCCTCAACCCTTTTTTCTGGCTTGCACATTGTTTAAAACAAAATGAAAATAGATTTTTAGTTTTGCTAAGATGTAGCAACACTGGGCCTCTTCCCTGGCACTGTATGTCTACTGCCTCCTTTAGAAGGGACTGACAGTCTCCGTTTGACTGCGGTCCACCTCCAGGCATTCAATCATGCTGCTTGCCTGGCTGTTGGAGGAACACTGCTTGTAGATGTCAGCATCTGGCCCCTGCTTGGGCCTCTAGCCTTAGAGGGCCCCACTTTCACCTTTTTTTGTCTGTGATCCTCCTCATGTGTCAAGGAATCTGAGAGCCCTGTGCCCACACTGAGCTTGCACTGATATTCTCCTAAACCCTGACAGCCCTCCAGGTACCAGGGATCCTGGAATTTCCTGTTCAATTGGTCTGAGCTGAAGAAGGAGAATAGGATCTGGAGGCAGGAAACCTAAGGCTGATTCATGCTGACTTCCTAGAACTAAATCAAAAGGAAAACCCCAACTTTTCACACCTAAGTAACAAAAGGACCAAAGGCTACTCCCTTTGCAAACCTCCCCCATTTCCGCCTGGCAGATGGAAAGTTGAAAGCACCTCTGATTAGTTGCTTTCCACAACCAATCAGATGTTTGCATAGTAGCATAATTTTGGGACTTCCTTTCAGCCTCTGATTGGTTGCAGAAAGCAACTCCTTGACACATGAGGAGGGGCACAGACAAAAAAAGGCTTTCTGCAACCAATCAGACTGATCACAGGCCACTACTTCATTTGCATGGAGTGTATGCCAAGTGCCTGATGGAAAACCTCTAGAGGGTATTTGGACCCCAGAGGATCCTGTAACCAGGGTCCTTAAGCCAATGCTCGGCCTGCTCCCACTCTGTGGAGTACACTTTGATTTTCAATAAATCTCTGCTTTCATTGCTTCATTCTTTCCTTGCTTTGCTGTGTGTTTTGTCTAATTCTTTGTTCAAAATGCCAAGAACCTGGGCAAATTGCAGTCAAGACCCTCTACTGGTAACAGAGCCACTCCTAGGATCTGTGTGAGCCCTTGCCTGGGGAGGTCCTCCCAAGGGCAGACAAAACAGTTCTATTGTAGGGGGCAGTGATGGTAAAGGATGGAGCTGGAACAATGTGGGCCTGGAGAGTTCACACATGTGGTAGGCCTCCCAAAGACATCCACATCCTAGTTTCCAGGGCCTATGAATATGTTACTTCCTATGGTAAGCAGACTTTACAAATGTGATTAAGTTAGGGATCTCAGGAAGGGAAGTTTATCCTGGATGATCTGGACAGGCCCAATGGAATCACAAGAATCCTTACGAGAGAGAGGGGAGAGGATCAGAGTCAGTAGTAGATGTGGTGATGGAAGTAAGAGATTGGAGTGATGAGATAAAGGGGCTCTGAGCTAAGTAAGGAATGTGGGCAGCCTGTAGAGGAGGGAAAAGGCAAGGGAAGACATTCTCCCCATAGGGCATCCAGAAGGAATGCAGCCCCCCTGGGACCTTGATTTTAGACTCTGATCTTCAGAAACACAAGATAAAAAATTGGCATGGTTTTAGGCCATGACATTTGTGGCTAATTTGTTACAGCAGCTACAGAAAACTAATACAGCCTGATTGCATGGGAGTCCTGCCACAAAGAGCCAGGGATGGGAAGGGGAGACAAGGTGAGGGGCTGCAGGTTCCATGTGCCTCTTGCCTCAGGCACCCTAAAATATTAATTGATAACAATAAAATCTCAAAGTCCTGTTTTAATAAAAGACTTAAACCAAAGTCTACACACGTATACTAATTTTTAAGTGTCATGTCTGTGTGATGACTAAAATTGTAGGTATTGTTAGCATAATGGCATTTAAATAATCCTCCCATTTATGCATTTGTTATAAAATCATTCAGGAGTGTGTTACAAAGAATAATTTAATCAAATCATGATAAACCAGATGTAAGCAAGAAAAATATTTTATTGGGGCTTGATTTCATGTATCTTTTTGACAAGCTTCAAACCAAAATTCTCTGTATCAAATTTCTTGAATATTTACATGTGTTTTCTGTTCCCAGGAAACAGACACCATAATATTTTATTTTACAGTTTGAAAATTGAGGAAATTAAAAACAGAAAATACACTAGTTCATGAGCATGGGACAATACTAATTCACCAGAAGAGGGGACTCAGTTAGATGTTGTGTTCTCTCCAAGTCAGCCTCCCATCACTCTCTTTACTTCACACACTTAAAAATTTCCCCCCATCAGAAATATAATGACGTCAATAGCTTAGATATAAAGAAAAATGACTTTTTCCCTACTAAAGAGCAGTGTTAGAAATGAGTGTTTCAGAGAAGGGACAGAACAAATACCTAATAAGAAAACCTTTTCCCATAGTTCCTGTCTTATCTTAGGGGATTCTATTAAAGTTTGATTTGGCTGCACATGTACTCACCAAGGTCCCTTTGTTCACATAAAGTTCATATGAAACAAACAAGAATAAAAATCACATAAAAGAGAGTGCACTTAATAATCCTATTTTTTTTTTTTTTCTGTTCCGATGATTTAAGTTGTTACTTTGTTTGAACCATTTCATGAACCAGGCAAGGGTAGCAAAGTGGGCTGTGAAACACACTTTAACTCAGTGGCCCACACATATGCAGTGAATTCCCTTCCGGAAGAGGCCAACTCACCACTGCTGCTGCTGAGATTCATGTACTCTCCCCAAAGGTCTGACTTAGTCAAAGCATTGACATAGTCTTGAAAATTTTGAAAAGTGAAAGATGGTCTGTTTGTTTTGTTTTACTGGGGACAAAGGTCTGGAGAAATAGGATTTGGCCCACAGGTCAGCCTCTACAGAGACTCAAGAAATGAGAAGAGAAAATAAAGAAGGAATGAGGAAAGAAACAGTATCTAACAAAAAGGTTCGAAAAGGGTTCAAGGGACCATGCTCTATAGCCCTCTACCCAAAAAAGAAAATGTTCATGAGTTATCTAAAGAACATCTGGCCAAAACTGACCTGAAAAATGTAATTTCAGATGAATGTTCTCTCAAGTCTGGAAAGAAACCAAAACCTTATTATAAATATCCTAGTTGAGGTTTTAGAAAAACAGTATATGAAACTGCATTTCATGTGTTTGAGTGCAATTTAATTCTTAGGTTTTTCCTAAATTCATCCCAGGAAACAGTAATTGATAGTATTCCTGGTACAGCTTAACCAAGAGCTTCTTGTCTTTTGGCCGAATCTGTCCTGTCTGCTGTATAGAGCATACCTAATTTCCTCAGAGCCTCCCAGTTCCTGTCCCCTTTTGGAAAGGATGGTAACGATATTAGCACTCCCTCTTAATAGGCACTATTTTTAAATAGAAAAATCTGGAAAAGCACAAAACAATACAGAAGGTTTTTCCAATCAGCCTTTGTGCAGCTGACTTGGCTCCTAACATACCTCCCTCCTCCTAATCAAAATTCTAGATTGGAACTCATCAGCTTCGACAGGGGCCCAGCACAATGCATGCTAGACCCCAACACAGTTCCCCTCAACAGGGCTGGGACCATCTGCAGGCACTTACTTCAGCTGTATGCCAGGGGAGATGTTCCCAAACAGAGATATTTTAATCCTCTGGAATTCAGATTTTCTTTTTTTTTTTTGCCATACCAATAGCTGGTTTTAATTTTTTTTAGAGGAAATACTATAGTTTAAAAAAAGAGTTCCAAAATATTTAACGGAATTTCCAGCAATGATTATTTCTGAAACGTAAAGATTTGAAACATAATTTATACAAAACTAAAAACCAAAAGGATTCATTCTTGCTTTTTCTTTTTTTAAAAAATCCAGACAATTTGTCACAAGAAAGTTCAGCATGTGATAGCAGCTGCAGCCTCAGTCACCCTCAGAATTGCTGTCCCTCCTCATGGGGACAGAGCTCCGCACTGAGGACAGCAACACATCTTTAATCAGCTTCTTAGGGTTTTCCTCCAAGTCCATCTTAATTGCTCCAGATTCAGACAGTTTTCACCCCAACTCATCTCTTGTCAGGTTCATGCCGCCAGATGCCAGAGGACTGATCACCTGAGCCTTGATGTCTCCTTCCAGGTAACAAATATCATGGGCAGATTCTTATCAGGATAATTGGGTATGCAGGTTGTTGAAAATGGCTTTGATAAATTTGACATCAGGAAACTTTCTGGCAAGTCCACTGAGGTGCTGATTTATCAGGGCACAGAGGGGAATTCCTTGTTTATAAAGGTGCAAGATGACCCACAAGCCCTCACCCGCTTTGGTAACTTCTTGAACATAATACTTCCTTGAGACCTCCAAAACTTCTCCAAATATATTCTTCAGTTGAATTGCTTTCCACTCAGTGAGTCTCGGCCATCTGTACATTTCAATAGCATGTTCATCCTCCTCATTAAACTTGTCTTCATCATCCTCCAGCTCTTCCAAAGTCATATCTTTGTATGATGTCACCACTGACTGCTGAAGGATGCACTGCTCCTCTTCTGCCTCCTCTTCCAATTCTTTTAGACTTTTCTTGGTGGGTAAGATGCCCTTTTTGCCTAAGATGTCATTCCACACAGTGTCTGTGTTGGGGTCCTGCATCTTGTTTCCAATCGCTCAAGCCAGTTGTGCTGTGAAATTCAGATTCTCTAAAAACATGTTTACAATTTAAATTTGGCTGACCCTTGCAGATATGTGGGCCTAAGTCAATAAAATCTATATCATGATAAAGGCTAAGGTCCTTCCCTTTCTTAATTAAGTATGAAAAGATGCTAGAGAAAGTCTACAGTCATTTCTAACTCTTTCTCTCTGGTAGTCTTAGATCCATCTTTCATGCCAAAACTATATGTCATAGAGGAGCTGACCTGTTTAGAGCATGATTCCAATAGCAGGACGCATATTGAAGAATATCATACTTTGGGCCTCCAAGCTGAGACCCTGTGTGTATCTAATCAGTTCTCACATCATAAGAGAGAGGGAATCCGAAAGTCCAAAATGAGGAGGAAATGAGGATCTCTGCAAAGTCTCTCAACTTCCACTAATGCTTTGCTGCTAAGAACAACTGCATTTCTCTGCAGCAGTTTTCCCCAGCACTCCTCTCACTTTTCTGCTGCTTTATTTTACTTCAGCTAATTGCTCTTTCCCTTCAGCATGTTCCTTTCCCATTGACTTCTGTTTTTTAAGCCAGCATAATACCTTTCTTTCTTCTTTCCAGCAGCCCTTGGCCTCTCGGGAAGGCTTAGTCATTTCTGCACTACATTCCAAATCAAAATAAAGTGAACAATCTCCAGTGCCTTGGAAAGGGCTCCCTTAGATTTTCATTGAGAATGGCTTTTTCTTTCCTCCCAAGGCCTAAGATCACTGGAAGGACACGGAAGGCAGTGAAGGCTCCAGAGCTCTGTCCCTCACCTTCACGGTGGTGTTTCCCAAAGTGTGAAAGGCAAACCACTAGAGTTACTCAAGACAATCTTAGTGGTGCATAGTTATGGTGGATTATGGTTGTGTATTTGTTTTCATGTGCTTCAGAAAAAAGTATAGCGGGCATATCCAATTTCAAAGCTATTCACAGCTATAACTGCTGCTTAGGGCAGATGCAAGGTAAAAAATATAGAGAGGGAGTGGTCTAAAGAAAGACATTAAGTAAACAATAATATAGATAGAATGTGATATAGTAAAAATCGTGGAGATGGGACCTGAATGACAAAAGCCTGGGAAATGCTGCTTGATGGAAATGACTTGGATCTAGGAAGAATGGGACATGATGTCAGCTCTGGCCATACTGCCGCCCCCATTGCAAAGCCCTGAGCTTGGGGTAGAGGGTGGGAAAGCAGCTGTTAGCCTATGAATCACCAGGCTAAGATTCACAATTTCACACCAGGGACCAAAAATACTCAGAAATGTTTCTGAATGGATAAATCAACTTCATATTATGCTATAACCAAGGATAGCATTGCCATTAAATTTACGATTAGAAGCACCCCGATCCAAAACTCTTTCAGTGTGGAGGCTAAAGCCTGCAAAGGTCACATGATTTGGCCCAGTTTCACCCCAGGAAATAGTAGCAGCACTAGAACTTAGACCTCAAACATGATTCATTCTAAATCTTTCTACTACATTTTGCTGCTAGATGTCTTTCATATGCCCAAAAGTCTTAACTACTCCTGAATATATCTAGCTAGATTTCACAGAGTAGTAGGAGATAAAATCAGAGCGGTAACACGGGATGGGGGAGATTGTGTCAGAACTTGAAGGCCCATTTGAGGACTTTCGGGAGCTCAAAGGTGAAGCTGATAGCTGTATCTAGACACTAGAGAATTAGCAGTAAACAAGAGACAACAAACTTTTCCATTGTAAAGGTTTACATTTTAATGGAGGAGAAAATCTAGAATCTGAAATTGCAAATCACCTATGTCTAAATGCCAAATAAGTAATGGCCCAGGATGATAGGATCCACACTGGGAAGGGTTTCCATGGGTTATCTGGCCAGCTGGGCTTTGATGGCCTCTTTCAGCATTTCCCACACTTCTGCTATATCCCAACAACCAAAGGCCTCCAGCCGAACAGCTGCGTTTTCCTTAACCAATTTTTTTCTTTTTTGAGACAGGGTCTCCCTGTGTTGCCCAGGCTGGAGTGTACAGTCATAGCTCACTGTAACCTCCAACTCTTGGGCTCAAGTGATCCTCCTGCTTCAGCCTCCTGAACAGCAAGGACTACAGGTGTGCACCACTAAACCTGGCTAATTTTAAAGTTTTTTTTTTTGTAGAGACGAGGTCTTACTATGTTGCCCAGGTTCGTCTCAAATTTCTGGCCTCAAGTGATACTCTTGCCTCAGCCTCCCAAAGCACTGGGAATACAGGCATGAGCCACTGTGCCCAGCCTCTTATCCAGTTTTTGACTCCTCTCCTCTTCCTAAGTAGAAGGGGAGGGAGGGAGAAAATGGGAAAAAACAAACTGGCCAGAAAGAGAAAGGAGCGGAATCAATGGAAACAATGATTCTCCTACGGAGTATTTTAAATCCTGAGCTATGCCAGACTAAGTTACCTGTGTTAATATTTTATTATTACATTATTAAATTGACAACATAACTGCATAGTAATCATGACTAGCCACTACTGAGAGTTTGCTATGTGCCGGGAAGTAGCCTAGACAGTCTGACCAACTTGATCTCACTTATTCCTTACCACAACACTATGACACAAGTACTATTATTTTTCATTTCACAGAAGAAGAACTGGATGATCGGAGAGGTAAAGTTCCACATCCCACAGCCAGTAAATGGCAGTGTGCAGTCACAGATGTCAGGATGCTGGACTCCAAAGTCCTGGCTGTTCGTCCTGTTCAGGGAACTCCCCTCCTCAACAGGAGGCAACAGCTAGCTCAGGCTGTCCAGTCAATGCACCATTCACACAGGATTTCCCTCCTTGCAAGTGTTCTTCTCAAGAATAGGCCCCCTCACTGACCCTGTCCCTTTCATCACTTCATTGTCTTTTTTCTAACCTCTCTGCTCGGTGCTCCATGTCCCCTGGTTACAGGGGTAATGGATATCTCGGTGGTTTTTGCTAGATTTCCATGACCATTGTGGTCTGTCTCTATTTCCCAGCACTTCTCAGCCTTTTAATTCTCTCCTCATTATTGAAGCCAGCATGGAGCAATTTTTCAAAACATCCAATTAGCAAGTGCACAGAAGGAACTGGGTCCATAATTAATTAATGATTCTAAGATGCAACAAAGCAAAAGCAAAGCCAAGGACATGGAAGGCACCAAAAACTGAAACTGCACGAGGAAGATGTTCACATTCCGGATCCCTCCCTGGGAAGGACAAAGAATTAAACAATGTGCTCACTGATTCAAATCCCTAAAGCACCTCCACATGTCCTGGAATTGAAAAGACATCAATCACTGGGTGACAGTCCCAAGTGGAACATCTTTCCCCTCCACGATGAATGACTGCCTCTGTTGTAGTGGTGAACTGATTCTTTCTCTATTGTTTTTACGAGAGAAGCTTGGCCCCTCTTTCGTCTCAAAATTGTTCAACTCCTTTAGTGACAGTCTTTGTAGCTAGATGGTCTAGCCTCTGGGATTTCTTGCTCTTCCCCAAGCAGAAGTCAAGTTAATATACCAGGATTTAAGAGATCAAGCTAGGATGACTGTGGAGACAGAAAAAGGGAAAATACTAGAGAAATGCCCGGATTCTCAGATGTACAGTTGCTATTCTAATTTGGAGAAGAAAGGAGGGCTTGGATGGAAGTCTACCCAGATCAAATTCTCGCAGACATCAACTCGTTCTCCAACACACAGGGTGAAGTGTAAATGACAAGGGAGTGCTGGCACAGTTATTAGTCAAATTGCTGTCTTTTCATTAGGAGGAAATAGGGATTATGTTTGCTTTTGATTATTATGAACAGTAGTTGCTGCCTGAAAGACTAGAGACAACAAAACAAATAGCCTGAACAGTATTATAGTAAGTTCCTGCATCTCACAGGACATCATGATATACTTGCCGTTAGTGAAAATTAGAAGACGTACATAAACCATGACAGTTGTAGGAATCCTTTACTACTTTTTCTTACCTGCAGCCTAATTTCCTTTTGGTTCTACATTGTGCTAATGCCAGCTTTCAGGACTTATCTCCGTACTTAAGGGAGTATATCTAAACCCACTCTACCAAGCCACAGACTAAGCATTTTGCTTAATACCATGGCAATGGATACAAGCAAAGTTAGATGAGAAGGAAAATAAAATGTCACCAGGACATTTACAAGACATAGTACTTATTGCTGCTGCTGCTCAAATCAAGTAATAGTAAATACTATTATGCATGTTACTAAGCAATGTCACATTTTCAGTCCTTAATAACTGCATTAGTAACACAAGATGGGACAAACTACATTTTGACATCAATGAGACATTTTGCCTTCTTTGAATAATCAGCCTAAGCAACTGATGACTTCCAGCACAAAGCGAAAGTGGTTATCTTTTCTCCCCCGGCTAGGATATGTATGAGAGCTCCGTGGTAAATTTCCTATTGGAAAGACTAAGGGTTCTCTCTGCTAACCCATTCCCCCACAAAGTCTTCAAGTCTTAAGTAAAAAATAAATGAATGAATAAATAAGTAACATTCTTTCCCTGAAATGTCTCCTCTCAGCTATTGTATATGCGTATGTAGCAAGTGCTAGAAAACTGTGAATTTTAAATACAGTTAAAGATTTGAAGTAAAATGCATCTACAAATATATATCCTTCAGATTCAAAGATAATACTGATTTGAAGGATCTTATGTGAAGATAATCAACATTGCAGCAGTCCCAGATTCTGTATTAATGACAACCCTCTGGTTTACAGATACTAGAAGGTTGCTTAGGGTGAGTTGATAACTAATGACTTCTTTCCCTCTCCCCATGTTACCCAGCATTCCCTGATTACCCAGAATTCCCAGTTACCCAGCATTCCCCTATTATCCAGCATTCCTAGTTACCCAGCATTCTCTTGTTACCCAGAATTCCTAATTACCCAGCATTCCCCCATTTATCCAGCATTCCTGGCTACCCAGCATTCCCCAGTCATTCTGCATTTCTCAGCTACTACATAAGCATTAGTCAGAAATAGTCTGCAAGAAAATAACCTTTTCAACAGGATTTTACCAATGGAATTCTGGAAGCTTCCATCTCATTAGAGGAACAGTATTGCATAAAAGATACTACGTATGAATATTATAACACAGACCCTGGAGGCAGACTCCCTAGGAGGAATCCTGATTACACAATTTCCCATTTAAGTGACTTTGGGCAAATTAATGTCTTTGTGTCCCTTTTTTTCCTCACCTGTTACTGCAATGATTAAATAAGTTGATATATATAAAGTACTTAGAGCAGTGCCTCCTTCTGGCTCTGGGGAAGAGCTGTTTGAACACCTCCCCATTAAAACAAGCAAATACTGCAGTTAGTAAAGGAGAAAGCTGACTCCAGAATGTATCTTTAGGATCTGTATTTGTTGCTTTTATATTTCAGAGGAAGCCACTGATCTAATGAAGCTAGAAAATGCTAAATTTTGAACTCCTATAACATCAAACTGTTACTAATTATGGTTCTGGGCATATGCCATATGTTTCCCAGAAATAACAAATGTTCCACGGAAAAGTCAGTGGCCAAGGGTGGGAAAAACATATAGTAAATGTCCTTGTTTTTCTTGGCTGTTAACATTAATATAATGAAACATTCAGTGAAAACTATGAACATTCAACTGCAACTTCCTACCAATTCAGAAGACATTCTTGAACTACTGAAAGTGAGAGTTGTTATGTTCAAATAGCGTTGTCAAGTAATTTATTAAGAATCTTACATTTTAAACTTTGAAAAATGTTACTCTGCCCCATAGAAATTACACTGGTAGATGCTAAACTAATTCCATGTGATTCTCATTTTCAGAAATACAATTTTAGACTGTTCAAGAGTTTCAGTATTTCTCCTGGAGCTGCATAATAGAAAGCCATTTTGGTTTTAAATATAATTTTGTTTTTTACATGGGTTCCCTTGTACAAGGAACACATTTCTCTCATACAGTCTTGCTATTTAAGAGGCTAATTGTTTTAGATTTCTTTTAAGCTTCCTTTATTTTACTTAAGTGAACTTGAAGTAAGTGAATTTTTACAACTATCTAGTGAAAGAAAATTAAATTATTGATCAAGTGATCTTTATAAGGAGGTCATACCAGCACCAGGAGGCTAAGATTATGTTTTCTTTTAGTAGATTTTACATTAAAGAGCATGTATTTTAAAAATAAATCAGCCTGATAGTCCCATTTATTCTTATTTTCTGTTATAAGTAAAGGATGATGATCCTATAGGTGTTAAAAAGTGATCAAGATCTAATCCAAGCTACTTTGGAGGCAGGAACTGCTACTGACAGAACCTCTGCATGTAATCAATGTGCTGTTATGTGAAAGTCAATGCCATGTCCTAGAATTATGATGATGAAAAAAAGCAGCCCTAGGTTCTGTCCTCATGGAGCTTAGAGTCTAAGACAGCACTGCTTAAAATGTGGTCTATAGACCAGTCTTATCAGACTTCAATAAGGCAAATACAGATACTGCAAGTAGTTGTCAATAAATTTTTATAGCAGCTGGATATTGCTGCAGCATCCAAATGTGTAATCAAGTGAACTCATCTCATTGAATGGGGTATGGAATGGTTTGGAGATTGCCAAACTTGCATGGTGAGTTTCCTGTGGTAGATTCTAAGTACTGGTAGTCACAGACAGAAGGACATCTATTGATTTGTGATGAATTGGAAAGTTTCTCAAAAATTGAATTCTCTCCCAGATAGCATGAAAAGCACTACTCTAGTGCTTTCAAAGCATTATACAAAAAAAAAAAAAAAAGAGAGAGTTTAATTCCAACTAAGAAAATTTGAGAATATTTTGTCAAATAAATGACTCTTAAGAGTGGATTAGAATTTGAGGGGTAGAAATCACAACATGAGAAGGGCTATGGAGGCAGAAAAGTGCAAAGATGACCTGGGCTACCTCCTTCATTATGGCTGGAATATGATATGGGGACAAGGCAAAGGGAGGTAACGGAGATAAATGTGAAAAGATGGATTGAAGCCAGTTACTAGAGGGCCTCGAATGTCACGAAA